TTTTGAAAGTCGCCAACGCTTAAAAAAAAAAGGACACAGTACGCCAAGGTAGTAACCCGCCTTTTAAAAAAAGATTGCAACACTTAGGCAGTTCGCATGCGTAGAATCCGTTCTTTCGATTGGGTTCAAATGACGGATCTGACAACTCAATGCGCATGCGTGGTTAATGTAGGGGCGAATAGCTTAAGCGGCTAATCGCACCGCTGGTGCCAATAGCATTGGCCGAAGAAGCGCGGATGGGGATGGCCAATGCTATTGGCACCAACGGTGCGATTAGCCGCTTCAATTATCGCACCAACATTAACCACGTATGCACTTTGAGTTGTCGGATCCGTCATTTTAACCGAATCGAAAAGAAGAACTCCTAAATTCGTAAACTGCCAAAGTTCTGTTGCAGTGAGTCTCTTTTTTTTGTTACTACGTTGACGTAGTTTATCATTTTTTAAGCGTTAGCGACTTTCAAAAGATTAGAAAGAGAAATATGTTCCTTTTCTTATATATATAAAAAGAAGGAACAGATTTCTTTTATTTATATAGATATAAAAAAGGGCAGATTTTTATGTTCGCATAAACTATTCCAACCGTTCGTTCTCCTGAACGGTTGGAATAGTTTAAATGACTGATTTGGGGGGGGAGACTAAAACCTAGTTTACATTTTTTGTACTTCTTAGAATACAATTAGATTCAAATATGTGTTTCGTACAATCAAGATTTTTGTTCATTCCTCTTCGAAATTTTTCATCTGAGAAAAGGGACATTAAAAATTAGAGTGTGTCTGCGTAGAAAATTTAGACATGAAATAAGTTAAAAGCGATAAAATAAACTATTAAATTAACAATCATATAATACTGGTTATTAACAATTTAGTAGCATGCTTGTTTAATTTTTCTATGGAATACTCAGAATTTCTATGGAAGTACTCAGAACACAAAAAATATTTCAAAGTACTTTGAAATATTAGTACAAACACAGTAATTAATTAAATTTAAATAAATAATGGGATGTAATTTAAAAGACAAAAATAATTTAATGTAAGAGATTTAGATTGAAAAATTTGCCCACGCAAATGAAATACCGTATTGACGGCATATAAGACGCATTGGCATGTAAGACGCACCCTTATTTAGAAGGCCACACACAAGGAAAAAAAGTTTCATTAGTCCACAATAACTTCAAATGTGGTTCCTTTTAGTTCTCACGTTTCGTAAAAGCCAAATAAACAATCATTGAATGCAATTACCAAACATATTTTTATTAAGGAAAATTAACAAACGGCAAGCTATTTTAAACATGATATGTAAATTTCAATAATGAATAAATGAATGAACGGCAAGCAATCAAACATAATACAAAATAAAGCAGAAACAACAAAAAACACAGATTCAAGGAAAACGTTGCCTATCATGAAATTAGACTTTAATCACTTTCAAAACTATAAAAATCCTTTTCACTATCATCATCATCGAAAACGAGAATATTGTCATCTCTACTGTTTCCGTCATCCCTAGTATCACCTTCTTCGAATAATGCGCCGTCTTCTATTCCATCAAGAGTATTACTGATTCCGCACTTCTTAAAGGACTTAACAATTACTTCAGCCTTTACGTCCTCCCAAGATCTTTTTCACTTGCACACTTGTGAAATAGAGGGCCGCTTCATTCTACCTGAGGGCGTGATGTGGCTCTCCTATCCACTTGTTCCATCGTTCTCGCCCTTTTTCCTTAAATGGTTTATTCACCGATACATCTAAAGGCTGCAATTGGCTAGTCAGTCCGCCAGGAATGACAGCTATCTGGGTTTTTAATTCTCTCGCTTTATTCTTTATTATTTCAGTTCTATGGGCGCTAAACTGCTCCAAAACCAAAAGTGAGCGTTTTTTTAAGAGTCCACCAGGTCGCCTCGCCCATACATTCTGTAACCACAGTTTCATTCCAGCTTCGTCCATCTAGCCTTTCGGATGAACATGAAAAATAACACCCGTTGGAAGTTTTTCTTTCGGATGAGTTTTTCTTTTGAATATGAAAAACGGCGGTAGTTTTGTGCCATCAGCACAACATGTTAGAACTACCGTATATCGGGGTTTTCATGACCTGTGGTTTTTATAGTTATTGATTTAGACCTTTTAAAACTCCCAGTCTAGTTAGATGGTACATCAAATGTGAGTGGAGTTTCATCCATATTTCCTATTTGAAGTGTTCTTGCGTGCATTTATAGCAAACCTATGAAATGCTAGTATTTTTTCCTTCATAATCTGCTGGCATTTTCTGTGCAATAGTTGTTTTTGTACGCATTGATAAGCCTTTCCTTTTCATGAACCTGTAGCACCAGCCCTCAGACCCTGAAAAGTTCTGATTCCCATGTTTTTCTGAAAAATCCTTTGGCCTCATTGGTTATCATTTTGTTGAAACACATATCCCAGATTTCTTCTTATCTATCACCCACATTTGTACGGCATTTTTAAGTTCAGGCCAAGATGGAGCTGGGCATCGAAGGTTATGTTTTTTTTAGCAGTCTTCAGTTGATCTTCCTGCAGTCGCCAAGTACGTATCATTTTTTCGGTAGGTGGTGGACCGAAATGCCTTGCTGCTGCTCTGTTTCCATGCACTTTGGCGTGTTTAACACTCCTAGTTTATACTGAATTGTATAGCTTAATTTTTTGTTTCCTGTAGTCATATTTCCAGGGTATTTTTTTAAGCACCGATACCGACACGTGTGCCAGCTGAGTCAAAGAATGTCTATGTAAAGAAGGAAAGGCTCCATAGACGTAATGTGACCGTCGAACCTGTTCGAACTTCGACATCAGCTTCGAGCTTTGGCGCTTTTTGGCGACAGATATTTCACGCATGCGCAAAATAATTGTGGCAGATGTAGAAAAAGTCAAAGCTGTATACTTAAGCTTTGAAACAGCTTTGGAAAAAGTTATGTGTGTCTAGACCTTTATCCGGGCTAAAAATAGCATTCAGTATTGAAAGTTAACCCGTGTCCTTCACGTATAAGACGCAGGTAACATTTTTGAGACCAAATTTAGGAAAAAAAAAGTGCGTCTTATATGCCGCCAAATACGGTACCAGATTTTATAAGATTTTATTTCATAAATAACTTTGATTTTTGAACCTATAAACATGTGTGAACACTGAAAAAGTAATGCATATCTAAGAATTTTCAATAAGTTTTTTTTATTCAATGATAAATTCTGACAGTTCTATGCTCTAAGACTAAGGTCTAAGTTTGCATAAAAATTTCTGTGTTAAATAAAAGAATTTAACTCTTTATGAATATGAATATAAGTGTTTATGATGAGTGTTTATGAATATGTTCTTTTTTACATTCAAAGATAACATATTTGTACAGTAACATTTCACGATGTTTATGACTCTTGTGAAATTTTTCTCGTTTTAATCAACACAGCAAAATTTAAATTTTCATACAGTTCTTTTGCCCTTTCAAATTCAAAATATATGGAAAACTTGCTTCCATACTCAAAAGGCAAGAAATTTGTTTAAAAACTTTAATCTGTACACAAGTTATAAAAGAGAGTTATACAGGAGATCAAAAACTACGCATCCATTTCGAAAAGGCATTCAAAAATAAACTAAACTAAAAATAAAACACTGATTACATCATTAAATCGTTGAGCGCGCGGTTAAAACTTACGTAATCAGTTCAATCTGTTATGCTCGCGCACAGGCGGAAGTATCACATATCCAACATCCTCCCACCTTTGAGATTCGAACCAGGGAATCTCAAACCTTAATTCTAGGTTTAATTAATCGTCCATATCTGGATCGTTTTTCAGGAACAGTCTCTGGGAAAAATCATTAACAATTCGTTTCTTAGAAGGAATTATCTTTTGAGCTAGTACTGGGTTGTCAGAAGCGGTTTCTGAAAGACGATTTTCATCAGTCTTCGGTTCATTGAGAATAGAATCCTGTTCTACTACAGGTATAACGGGGTCACTTTTATCAGTCACTTCATGAGGTATTAACCTAAACACTGGGCGGAGAAATTCTCCGTTTTTCATTTTTATTTTTACTAGGCGAACTTGTCCATCTTTAGACACCATAGCCACCCTAGCCAGAGGCCATTCAATTTTTTTGACGTTATCACTAGAAACCAGAACAATATCACCAATTTGGATGGGTTTCTGATTTTTATGAGATTTCAATGACTGGCGTAAATTCCCTAAATATTCAGTACGAAACCGTTTTCTTAAATCTTGTTTCACACGTTGACGGTAAACATGTCTTTTATTTAACGACGACGAATCCAGAACATCAAGATCTGGAATTCCTGTTTCTTTAAGATCATGCAAAAACACAGAAGGGGTAAGTGGAGTTAAATCATCAACGGCTTCCGAAATATAGGTTAAAGGTCTCTGATTAATCACACCTTCAATGTCACAAATAACGGTGTTCATGTCTTCTAAATTAAGTGAGCTTCTACCTAGAACTTTTCGTAGAATTTCTTTGATTATACCTATCAGACGTTCCCACCACCCACCACACCATGGGGCAGAAGGGGGATTAAATTTCCAAATGATCTTTTGAGATCCGCTGTATTGGGAAATGACGTCCCAATCAATTTTATTCAGCAAATTATCAGCTCCTGAAAAATTAGAACCATTGTCACAGAATACAGGCAACGTTAGACTTCTTGGTGCTTCACAATTGGGAATAAGACATCGAAGAATCTCTATTTATTTCAGCTTAGATAGTTCCCGTTTCCACTTCTCAAACTTCTTTGCAATGGTGGTAGGAAGTTCAGTATACCATGATACTTTGAATTTCCAGCACTCTTGTAGGAGGACTTTTGGTCTCAAAGTAACAGGACAGGTGAAGCCAAGGGGATTTATGTACGGTTGACAGGATTTTTCTCTTTGTCACAGCCGTATCGTCTTCAACATTTTCTCGTAAATCTACCATCAAAATGTCATTCTTTAAGTTCCACTGCCCTAGAACTGGAATATTCTTTTCATTTTTAGGCAAAGCGTTATCAGAGTCTTAAATATTATAACTGTGCTCCCACCCTCGAAGTTCGAATTCGGCAGTGCTAAGAACCAACCTGGATTCCTCAATAAATTTCTCAAGTTCTTCGGGATTTTCCACATTGGTAACACAGTTATCCACGTAAAAGGATTCCAACAGCTTGATGGCTGTTTTTTCAAAACGGTGAGGAGCATTCTGTAAATGAAACGGAAGGGTTGCTCTCAAAAGATACGGGGAACATGAAAGTCCGAATACAACCCGTCTATGCTGGAAAACTTTAGGTTTGGCAGGATCACTACCCTCGCACCATAAAAACTTTAGATATGGTCGATCACTCTCACTCAGTCTAATTTGTAGGAAGGCTCTACGAATGTCCGCAACAACGCCTATTTTCTTTAATCTAAATCGATTCATGATGGCGGGAATGAGCTTGACGATGTTGGGATCCTTTTCCAGGCAGTTGTTGATAGAAGGTGAGTTCTTTTCTCTGGCCAATCCATCAAAGATCGGTCTGACTCTTGTAGTGGAATTTTCTTTCTCTACAGCCCTGTGAAGTAAGAAGTGTTCACTTTCTTCTTTACAGGAATTCTTAACCTCTTCAATAACGCCTTCTTGAAGCCACTCTCTAAACACTTCTTCGTATGCTTCTAAGTTTCCATTCCTCTTCAGTGATTCAACGCAGCCCTTTAGCCTTCGTTCTGCAACATTTTTGCAAGTGGGCAATGGAGGATGGCCTTGTACCCACGGGAGACTTACAACGTACCTTCCATCGACATGTAATTTTACACTTCTGTTAAAGTGTTCTTCAGCTGCCATCTCAAGCTCTTGTCGACTTCACTTCTCTCCATGGTTCAAAATTCCAAGTGTATCAAGTCGCCATAAGTCTGAAATTTTTGCAACGTTTACATGTAGCGGCATAACGCTATTCGTGCTATCTGAAATTTCGATCGTATCAGTCTTACCCATTAGTGTCCACCCAAGCCGCGTTTCCATCAAGACTAGACTGAGTCTAACTGTTTTATGTTTCCGGTATACAGTTTACCTACGACATCAGCCCCGACGAGTCCATGAATCTCGTCAGGAGAGAACTGATACAACAGATCTACTTTATCATTCAAATCAGATAGGACAATTTTATATTTCTTAACTTCAATCATAAATGTACCACACGGTATTTTTGGAATTTCGGAACAAATATTTTCTTGATTTAACATCTCGAAAATACATCGATAATTATCCGAAAAGTTACTAAGGCGAATCAAATATCTCTTATGTCTTTCCGTAGTTTCTATACCGCTGAACAAACTATGTGTTAAAATTTCTTCACCAATACATTCATATCCCATTTCCATTATTGCAAAATTTGACAAGTAAGATTTACTGTTGCCTGAGTCGATTAGTACCCTTATGTATTTCCTTTTATTCTTATTCCTAAGACGAACAATAAGTGTTTGCAAGAGAACTTTACGAGTAGCTGTTTTGTTAGATAGAGCGGAGTCCTTACTTTTGATTTGTTTCTCCTCAACCTGTAGCAATCGATTCGAATTTTCGGAATTACATTTTTCAGTACACATTAATTTAAAATGACCCTTACCGCAAATCTCACACGGTGGTACTTTCATTGTACAAAATCGAGAAATATGCTTTCTTACTGCTGAACATCTGAAACATGCACCCCTTTTTAACAACATTTGCGTTTTCTCTTTATAAGGCAAATTATCAGCATACCTACATTGGCTACTCATATGTGCTTTGTTACAAAATACACAAGTTTCTTTTTTAATATCCGAAGCGTTGCATAACTCTGCAGCTGTCGGAGTAAATCTTTCCCGTCGTGCTAACGCGGGTGAAATAATTTTGCTTTCGATTTCGGTTTCACGGTTAAATTCGGTCCGTGCTAGACGCACTTTCTCTTCGCTTTCAATCTCGTGACATAAAAATTTCATCAGGTTATCTAACTTATCAACAGTTTCTTCTTTAGATGTTAGGGATGTGGAATTCAAATTTCTTTCCCAAACTCTCAATATGTCGACAGGCAAACAAGATTCAATCAACGGATACAATATTGAAGAATAATTTGCGCTGGAAACACCTAACATATTTAAAGACCTTAAGTAAGATTCAATCTTATCGTAAAGTTTAAAAAGAGGCATTTTAGAGCCTTTACCGATTGCGTTATTCATCATCAATGAAAAAACTTCTCTAATATACACTTCGATTAACATGTCAGTTCGGCCAAATCTCGTCTTTAAACACTCTATTACGTTTTCATAACTATCAGCTGTGGCCCGAAATGATTCAACAAGTTCTCGCGCTCTTGAACCCTTTAATGTAGCTTGTAATAAATATTGATATTTATCCTCCTTCGCGATTTCCTTATCGTTGTGTATCTTCTGAAATTGTGCCCAAAATGACAACCTTTCTTTGATATCACCGCCGAACAACTTAAATTCTATTTTAAGAAGCTTAAACTTCCGTTTCGATGAATCATTAAATATTTGAGAATTATATAGATTTGTATCAATAACAGTAAAGTTTTGGTTTGTCAAGTGAATCCGTTTTTTCGCTCTAAATTTCCACAACAGAATTCTTTCACGACATTCTTCTGTAGTTTGAATCTCTTCATCGAATTCTTCTGGTTTCAAAGTACTTTCGATTTCAGAATCAGCTATCTTAAGGGATTCAAACTTATCGTTCAAGAGTTCTAAGTCTTCTTCTAACAAATTTATATCAACAGAAGACTTATCTAGTTCTAATTCTATTTTCTTAAGAATTCTGGTAATGGACGTTCTCAAACCACCTCTCTTTTTCTTAAGTTTAGTAATATCTTCTACTGACATGTTTACTGAATCAAATATATAACATATAAAATCTTAAAGAATTCAATTAGTGCCTTTCAAATTCAAAATACATAAAATCATTAATATCAATCTGCGATTAATTCGCTTTCATCTCGGCGCGGAATGCCAAAATTAATATTGCCTTAACTCAATAGACAATATTAATCAATGCGTAAAGCATTCCAACAGTAGGTAAGCAAAATAGCACTTACCTGAATCACCGGGTTCTTCATTCAGGTATATCCAAAAAACACGCACAGGTTTAGCTTTTAAAAACTTTAATCTGTACACAAGTTATAAAAGAGAGTTATACAAGAGATCAAAAAGTACGCATCCATTTCGAAAAGGCATTCAAAAATAAACTAAACTAAAAATAGAACACTGATTACATCATAAATCGTTGAGCGCGCGGTTAAAACTTACGTAATCAGTTCAATCTGTTATGCGCGCGCTCAGGCGGAAGTATCACATATCCAACATTATTTAAACGGCGAAGTTTACTTGCAGAATTAGAGAGAATCAGAGTTTCTGATTCGCGCGCGTCTGCCTTTTGGCTACTCTCTCTCTCAAAGCTGTTATTACGCTCGGCCGTACTCAGACCTTTGATAAGCTTCGTAGTCAAATAAAGTTAAGGGGCCAACTCTAATAGAAACTTGATAGCTTCGGCTATATCTCTTTAGTTAACCTTAGTTTTAGTTTAATTTTTAGTCTCTTGAGCCCAAGTGTCGGCTTTTATTGTACACTCCAAGACGGAGTTTTGTTAAATCTTATTGGAATAATAAATTAGTTACCCTTCCTTCTTGTTGTTTCTTGTCACACGGACTTAAGCGATTATTCGCTAACTAGTTCTTAATATTCGTCACTTTCTGCAGTAACTGAGAAATACAGTAGTGAGAATCTTACATTTGGCGCCCGAAAAATTGATAACGGACCATGTCATTAGAGTCCGGGAAATTCACTTTGACCCTTCCGACCTTTCAGGTCCCTCAGACGTCCACAAATTCAGTAGAAGGGTTCGGATTCCTCGTGGAAACGTTGCGTGTATCTATGAAACCAGCGAGAACATTTGACGGCAAGGGCTCAGTTCTGACATTTTTGGAGCAATTGGAGCTACATTTCACCTTACATCCTGTGAATCAACTGCAAAAGGTGACCATCACTACTACAGCCTTAAAAGGTCAAGCCCTCAGCTGGTATAAGGGTATAGGAAAGTTTTTGTTGGGGGACCCAGGATCGGAATCATATAACTGGGAAACTTTCAAGTCGGCATTAGTGAAAGCATTCTAGTAGTTAAGGATCGTCGAAGCTAGAATCAGAATTGTATAGTAAATACCAAGGCAGTTTCGAGGATTTGAAGGAGTTCATTTAAAAAAAAGTTCATATTTTCAATCTATTATACGGAAAAAGGCCCGATAATGAACTTATCGAAGTAATTCTTCCGCGTCTTTTACCATCAGCGTAAGATTTCCTCGAAGTGCGTAATCCGCAAACATTAGAAGTTCTATTCCAGCTCGCGGTGAAATTCCAGAGCAGAAGGAACTCTGAAAAAGAAAGTCAGTTTGGACAGTACTCAAGAGTTACTCCTCAAAAGAAACCGCTAGTTCAATACAACGCGTATCGGCAGACAGGTAAAAGTGAAAAGTTCAATAACAAGAGCGCAGATATAGCAAAGGATGGCGGAAAGAAAAATCAGCGTAAAGAGGCGTCGGGTAACCAGAATTTAAACGCAAACCGGTGATCGAGAAGGGGCAACGGTCACCGAGTGGGAAGGAAGACCCCTCAGAAATTCGTTTAAATATAGTGGTGGTACAAAATCTAGCTATGCCAGAGATACAGATTCTGGTAAATAATGTACCAAGCACTGCACTCCTGGACACAGGGGCTCAATGTTCATTCCTCTCAGAAGATTTTTACAGGAAGCATTTTCGTCGTTACAGACAGTTTAAAGCCACGGGATAAAAAGTAATTGCCGCCCAAGGCAAACAGTGCGTACGTTTGGGGAAAACTGCACTGCATGTTCATATTAAAAACGAGGTGTCAAAAGTTAATTTTTTAGTTGCGAAAGATTTACTCACGTCCATCATACTGGGGGTCGATTTTTTACGCAAATCTTAATTTCCAGAATTCTACGTTTCAGGTGCACACGGATCCTGTAGAAGTAGAAGAAGAAGGGTCTCTGCCGGAATTGGGCTTAGACCATCTGGAGCTTGAAGTGAAAGAGAAGATCGAAAGATTGGTAAGAAAATTTAATTCTTTGTTTAACGACAAACCTGGCTTTTGTCAGGTAGTTAATCATTCTATCGATACAGGGAATGCCCCTCCAGTCCGGTCGAAGCCCTATAGACATGACAAGGTGAAAGAAGCCATTACTGAAAAACATATTGAAAAGATGTTAGAAAATAAAATAAATTTTGCCAAGCACGAGACCTTGCGCAATTCCGGTGGCCCTTTGTAGAAAAAAGAACGGGCTACCGCCTGAACACCCGGACGCGTATAGGTTTGCATTTGATTATCGTAAGCTGAACAGTATAACAAAATATCCCACCAATAATTGACGAAATAATTAGAAAAATTCGCTCGACTAAATTTATGACAACCCTATACTTAACTTCAGGTTACTTCAAAATCGCCGTCAAACCGGAGGATGTCCAAAAGACCGCGTTTATTACAAAATCAGTGCGTCTATGCCTTCTTAAGAATGCCCTTTGGTTTAAGCGGAGCGCCAGCTACTTTTCAAAAAGCAATGGACATAGTCTTGAGGCCAGTTCTAGGTAAAAGTACAATTATTTATCTTGACGATATCATATTTATCAGCGAAACGTTAAAGGAACATTTGAAACATTTGGAAGAAGTTTTTGGCTTACTTAACGAGGCCGGTTTCAAAATAAATGCAAGAAAATGCAAGTTTGCGGGAAAGGAATTGCGATACCTTGGATACAAAATTTCTGATAAGGGCATAGAGACTGATGATTCAAAAATAAAATCAATTAAAAGTTACCCTTCCCCAAATACGGCTAAAAATTGTCTTCATTTTGGGCTTATGTTCCTATTATAGAATGTTTATAAAGAATTTTACGAAAATAGTTGAGCCTCTTCTAGTGCTAAAAAGAAAGAAAAGTAGATTTTCTTGAACAGCCGAGGCGAACACCGCTTTTGAACAGCTAAAGAATGCCCTAATTAATGCCCCAGTCCTTAAATTCCCAGAAGGCGAACAAGGTCTGGAGATTTCAGCGGATGTATCCGATTATGCAGTTGGAGCGGTGCTCTCCCAAAATGGGCAGCCTATAGCCTTCTTTTCGAAAACTTAGAATCCTACACAGAGGAACTATTCCGCCATTGAGCTAGAAACGCTCGCTGTCTTATTAGCGGTTCAGAGGTTTCGTGTCTACTTCGGAAGTTCACCGATAACGGTCTACTCAGATTATGCGGCAGTGGGTCGCTTGCATTCAGGAAAAAATTTATCGCCTCGCTTGATACGGTGGACTTTAAAATTACAGGAATTCAATTTAACCATAAAACACACACAGGGAAAAGAAAATGTAGTCACCGATGCCCTTTCACGAAAAAAATTGATGAAAAGGGAAACACAATTAAGTGTGCTATGCTCATCTCAAGAGTTATTGAGTCTCGTAATACAATATTTGAAGAATTGAGAAAGGACCCAGAATTTAAAGATATTTACGCATACTTGGAAGACCCTGAAAAGTTTGAGCACATAGATTTAACGGCTATTCGCAATAGGGTGCAGCATTACGAAATAATCAACAAATTGTTATTTTATACAAAGGTAACAAATGAAAATCAGGAATACCAGCGAGTCTACGTTTAAGTATCTTAGAGGAGTTGCATGATCTACCGTCAGCTGGACATTTCGGAATACGAAAAACACTAAAGAGGGTACGCGAAGCGGTTTATTTTCCGCAGTTACAAAGAATTGTTACGGCGTATATGTTAAGTCGTGCCGTATGTGCCAGTCAATAAGTGATGTTAATTGCAGCCCGGGTATTTAAAAAACATAAAGGCCACTTTTCCAAATGAAATAGTTGGTATAGATTTGCTTGGACCCTACCCTAGGACAAAAATAAATAAAAATAGATATTTATTAACAATTGTTGACCATTTTTCAAAACGGGTAGAAATAGTCCTTCTTAAACGAACTTCAGCTAAAATAGTCGCAGATTCGTTTTTAAATAAATATATTTCATAATATGGGGCCCCGCTAAAAGTAATATCAGATAACGGAAAACAGTTTGTTAGCAGTATATTTAAAAATTTGTGCACAGGACTCGGCATACGCCATCTAAAAATGGTACCATATAGACCGCAATCGAATATAGCGGAACGTGTAAATAAGAATATTGTAAAAATGATCAGGGAATATGTGAAAAATTTTCATGACCGCTGGGACAGCTGTGTCAATGAGTTAGGTTTTCCTTGAGAACCGCAAAGCATGATACTCAGAAGACCTCGCGGAGTTATTTTTAGGAAGAAAAATCATAACGCCTTTGGATAAGCTGTTCTTTGTACAACAGAGACAAGAAGAATTCAAGTTAAAAGACATACAGAGAATTATCGACGAAGCAGTTAAAAGGCTCTGATATAACAAGACAAAAGCAAAAGATCTACTATGATAGAAATAGAAGGGAAAGGGAATATAAAGTCGGACAGAAAGTCTTAAAACTAAAATATTCCTTATCATCTGTACCCGAAAGCAGAGTTGCGAAGTTTGAGCCCAGGTTTGAAGGGCCCTACATGGTTGAAAGAATAAGAGAAGCTACGTTTTATTTAAAGACCGAAAATGGTCAACAACGGGCTGTAAATATTGACCATATTAAGCCGTACTACAGCCGCAATGGTTTTAAAGTTTTACAGGATTTATTACAGGAGCCTGGAAGGGAGGAGAGAAGCCCGCCAGCTCAAAAGCACAGCTGGGGTGCCCCAACACAGAAAAGGAAGCAGATCCAGCAATCTTCGACGAAGCGAATCCAATTCGGTAATGC